ATTTAAAGGCATTTCTGGGACTTTTTAAGTTTTTTCATGAGAGTAAGGCTATTGCAGGCGTCTCCAACCTTTTTTTCCTCTGAGAGCAACGTCTATAAAAACAAAAATGTCCGAGAGCTATTCATGTTTTGTAACATTTATTCTCATCGCTCATTTTGAACAAAAACTCAGCAAGCTTTCTTTTCCTGAACATTTACAATATGTTACTGTCCACATCTGACATTCTGTGACATCACAAAATAATTAATATTATCATTGTTATTGTTATTATTACAAATACAGATAATGTCAATGTAACTTTATTACACTTCAAAAAATAAACTAAAATGCAAGATTATGTCCTAAAACCAAAGGGACAATAGCAATAGCATACAAAACTTCCGTTTTATTTTTATGGTCCCTAAATAACGCTTCAGCCACCGCGGTCATTGTCTCCTTTATGATCCCACCATTGGTGAACAGCTTTTTGCGCATCGTTAAAATGTGCGCCACTTTAAACGAAGCCTCTGTAGCTGAATTGGCCTTCTTCGCCGGTTTGGTGAACAGAGACTGTTGCTGTTGAAGCATTGGCTTCAGTTCCGTTATCTTCTCTCTTTGTATACTGCTACGAGCAAGAAAGACCCGAGAAAAGCTGCCATGGACTTTGGTAAAATGGCGCTCCACATTACACCTTTTACTGACTGACACGCTGGCACCGCAGATCAGACATACACACTTGTCGTTAACATGTGTTAAACAAAATTCTGTCTCCCACCGTTGGTGAAAATGGTACATTTTAATTGGGTTGTTGTTTTGGTAACTGGTCGCCATCGGATTAGCTAATTGGCTAATAATCATTTTTTGTTGGAAGGAGACGGGACAACTGTGAATTTTGATTGGACATAAATTTAGGTAGATTTACCGAGGGACCAATTAAGTTTTCAAATTTATGTATGATTCACTGGCCCTTTGGTGAGCTACTTGGAAAGGGGCGGCGAGCCACTGGTAGCTTGCAATTGACGTATTGGAGACCCCTGGGCTAGAGTAAGGCATGTTTTTAGTGATATTTTGAAATATTCAGATAAAATATTTTGGAAGGTTTTAGCACAAATTATTCACTTGGCAGCATTTTTGGGGGCATAAACTTGTATTTAATGGCATTTCTGTGACTTTTTTTTTGCATTTTTTCATGATAGTAGGGCTATAGTAAGGCATGTTTTTGGTGATATATTGAAATATTCAGATAAAATATTTTTTGCAGTTTTAAGCACTTATTTTTCACTTGGCAGCATGTTTTGGGGCATAAACTTGTATTTAAAGGCATTTCTGGGACTTTTATTTTTTTGCATTTTGTCATGATAGTAAGGTTTTAGTAAGGCATGTTTTTGGTGATATTTTTAAATATTCAGATGAAATATTTGAAAAAAGATTCTAAAATTGTTTGAAATTTGTTTTTGTAATTTTTTTAATGAAACATTTTCAACTTTTGACCAAAATGAGATGAAAAATTAGGATTTTGCCAAAGAATTCCCCAAAGATTTTTTCTAAGATATTTCTCAAAATGCTTTAAATTGATGAGAAACATGCCAAAAAGCTAAAGTTTTTATCATAAATTTTAAACATCTGACCAAAAATGACATGCAAAATTAGTAATTTGCCAAAACATTTCAGGAAAAAAAACATCAAAAAAGAATTCTCAAATTGCCTGCTTACAGTGAGAAATATGTAGAAAAGACAAAATATTGGAAACCAATAGTTTTTTAAATTATTTTTTATAATTGTTCAACATCTGCCCAAAAAGTATATGATAAATGAGGAATATGTAAAAAGAATTATAGGCAAAAAGAAATTCCCCAAATTCTCTAAATTGAAGAGAAACATGAAAAACAGATACATGTTTTGAAAATAAAGTTAATTTCATCATATATCATTCAACATTTGACCAAAAAAGAAAAAATGTCCCTTTAAATTTCTCAAACTGCTCTAATTTGATGAGAAACAAGCAAAAAATATAAAATTTAGAAAAAAAATTCAAAACTTTATCATCTTTTTACCATTTGACCAACATGACATGCGAAATTAGGATTAGGATCATAATTTTTAAATATACTTGAAAAGTATTTTCGTCCATCATTATTGTTCAGTTATATTGTCTATAATGTCTTCAATATTGGTATAAAAAACGCTTTACCTTTGTGTTGGTTGTACCAAGTTGCTGCAGTGTGTGGAGCTCATGATGCCCATAAGGGAGGTAGAAAGTTGAATCCTGGACTTGTTGGGTTGGAAGTAGAGGTACGTACTACACAGTCACCGCTTTTGTGTCCTCAAGGTTTTCCACTGATGTTTAAGGACGGCGTTAGGTTTGGGCCCATTTTAGTGGTTGTTTTGACAAGGAGGAAGCTCTGTTTTAGAACTGGCCTGGCAGTGGGTCTGGAGGTCAATCATTCTATATTGACTGGAATTTTGAACATCTCAACTATTCTTTAAAAATCCTTCAAATTGAGTTTACCAAGCGAAGAGTAGTAGCAGCTTACAGGAGGACTTCAGCTGAGCAAGGTCACTAGACGAATCAAAACTCATGTTACGAAGCAAGGATGGGGAAGCACTGGTATCGGTTGGAATGGGAACATTTGGCATCATGGGAGCTTGTACAAGGATAGGTGTGCTCCTCCGATGTTTATCTAAAAATCACCAAAACAGAGAAGCCAAAATTAACACACATCAACAACCGCCTTTCAGGTGTGGCGAACACAACTAAACAAAATGATACGACCGGCATAAAACCTGGTATTCTCTAAATATTATGCTAATGGTCTCCAAGTAGCGAAGCAGTTGAAGTCTTCATTGCCTCATTATGCCGTTCGCCGCATATTACGTAGAGCTTAGGGCTCGATGCGTGGGAACAACCTGTCGCAATTAATCCATATTTCAAGTAGGACTCCTGGAATTGTCTGTTAAATGCAGCTTACTTTTTATTGAAGACGTTGGCTCTTCCTCTGTGTTCTCGCTCGCTCTTTTACCCTGCGCAAAGAAACTTTTCAAAGACGTTTGTTTTTTGTTCATTTTGCCACCTTTCAATTGGGTGTCCATTTAGCGGAAATGTATAACGCGTTACCAGCCGGTGCAGACCTTTTAAGAAAGTAGCGGATGTAGGTAAGACGTATGACCGAGGCAAGTGTCAAGTGTTACTTACAAACAGGCGCGGCGGAGAGAATCCGCTACATTTTTCAAAATAAAACATCGTTCGACATACGATAATAAATAAAACGGAACAAATCAAAGGCTTAGAATAATTTGAGATTAAAGCAAGTCCTTAGATACAAATGAGTTAGTTATCAAGCAATTAAAACCATTCTGACTACTGCACAAATACACACATAAATGACACTTGTTGGACATATATTTAT